GCTCTGCAATTGCCCAGCTGGGCATTTAAAATGTTCCACAAAGGTCTGGTGCCATCCATTTGGTGGAAAAGGATATCACATCATCCTCGCCAACTCATCCCATTTTTATTTTGGAGACCAAATGTTGAAAAGAAAGAACAAAAGCCATCACGAGGCTCTGAAAAAATGTGAAAAACTGCAAAGTACACTGTAGATATTTATAGGAAACACAATGGAACTGAGAGGAAACTCACACATCTCCAGGTTTGCCCCTTAATTAGCTGATTTTAAGACAGATATCTGTAATACATATAAAATGCACTTGAACTATTAGGCAACATTGACTTTCCAGTCTAAAACTGGCAGGAGTGTTCATTCCTTGCCCACACAGGAGCCCTTAGAGAGGCATCAGCAAACAAACACCCATTCTTGGACTGAATGTCCTCTTCTCTTGCAGATTTAAAAAGAAATCCCTTCTAATCTCCACCCTGAATGTTCTCTTTTCATTAAGTGTATATCCCTCAGGTCTAAAGCAAGAATTGACTAAAGGGATGTAAGTAGTAACTAATAATCATTCATGTGTTGTATATAGGGCTGTAGTCAAAAGATGATTACAGCCCTAAACCCAGGGAGTCTAGTAGTCCTGCCAGCACTCAGAGCACAGGTTTGAAGCCACTGTTCCTCCTGACCTCCTCCAGACTGTACCCTGACACATGTCCAGCTGCCAAAGGGCTCAGAATTGACAGCACAGGTGGAGGGACCTGATCATTTTCTTTTGCATTTTTGTTTTCTTTTAAATAAGTATTGGATTTTTGATATATCCATTGAAATGTATTTTCTAAAAATGGTATTAAAAATATCCCAGTGAAACAAAATTCATACGGATTTTTGATATATCCATTGAAACGTATTTTCTAAAAATGGTATTCAAAATATCCCAGTGAAACAAAATTCATAACATTTCTCTGTTCTTCCAACACACAGAAAACAAAATTCTCCTCAAACAGAATAATTTTCACAACACGGTTCAACAATATTCTCTCTTCACCTAGTTGCTGAAAATGTGACTATAGAGTACAATAAGAACTCAGGAACATTTGGATTAATTAAGTCCCTATTTTTCATAAGAATTTATTCTTACATACTTCCAATTTTAAATTTCCCAATATCAAATCCCCTCAGTCACAGTATGAACTTCGTAATGTATTTCCAAAGCACTCTCCTCTGAAGTTCACAGAATAATGCAGCTCATGTGCTGTATGTATTCACATACCACTGGATCTGATACATAAAGTCTATAGCATGAAGATCTACAATAGCTGCAAACGCAAAATGTGTCCTCTCTGAAACTACGTGGACACAGAAGTATATTAAAAGCCTTAAATCTGGCCCATTTGCAAAAATCTCAGAAAGTCATGCCAAGGTGTGCTGGTTTGAGCTGAAGTAGAGTTAACTTTCTTCACAGAGGCTAGTATGGGGCTATGTTTGGGGTTTGTGCTGAACACAGAGTTGATAATGCAGAGGTGTTTTTGTTATTGCTGAGCAGAGCTCACACAGAGCCAAGGCCTTTGCTGCTTTCCATCCTGCCACACTGGCAAGGGAGTTGGGGATGCATGGGAGACTGGGAGGAGACACAGCTGGGACAGGTGACCCAAACTGACCCAAGGGATATTCCATACCATAGCACATCATGCTCAGTGTATAAGGTGGGAGGAAGAAGGAGGAAGGGGGGACATCTGGAGTGATGGTGTTTGTCTTCCCAAGGAACCGTTACGCGTGATGGGCCCTGCTCTCCTGGAGATGCTGAACACCTCCTGTCTGTGGGAAGCAGTGAATTCATTCCTTGTTTTGCTTTGCTTGTGTGTGCAGCTTTTGCTTTCTCTATTAAACTGTCTTTATCTCAACCCATGAGTTTTTGTAGCTTTTACCCTTCTAATTCTCTCCCCCATCCCGTTGGTGGGCAGTGAGTGAGAGGCTGTTGGTTCTTGGCTGCTGCTGGGGTTAAACCACGACAAAGGCAAAGCAGAAAACTTAGATTATTCTGCTCTTCAGGTCCAGTTCATAGGATTGTTCTCACAGAACAAAAGAACCAAGCATAAATTTTTAATTCTCCTGATATGCAAACTGTATTGTCTTCCTGTTGGTATGGGTAAAACTCCTGTTCACATTCTCATTTGCCATCCAATTAGTAGATTAACATAAGTACAATTTGCCACCTCTGCACTTGAGCTGGTGAAGAGGAGACAGGCATTTCTCAGTTTTAGCAAGGGTGGGAATACTCTGGAGATGCACACAGGTGTTACTTTTCTCACAAAGTCAGGTCACAGAGCACAGTTCAGCTATTGAATGGGATTAAACCCACCATTTGCAAAGCTTTAAATTGGCAATACAATTCTTAAAACTAATTTTATTCTTATGGTAATATTTTATAAATAAATCACGTGGACTAGTATTTCATTGTTTCCACCTGAGATTTTAATCTTGCACCTATCAGTATGGGAAATCCCTTGGCAGCTCCGGAGGCTGTGTGAAAATTAATTTTTTGGTTTAATTATAGATTGGTTTTGCTGTAATAGTGGAGGTTTTAATTGAAATATTTTAATTAAGTGCTTGAAGCAACATAATGCCAGCTTTTTGCTGGAAACTAGCTTATCTCACAGTCTGGAGTTTCACATTTACTTGGCTGCTGTGCTGAACATAGACTCCTATATAACTAATTGTTACTGCTGCTTCTACCTGGCTCATGACACAGATCAAGACAAACAGTGAGTGCATTCAACCACACACCTTGGACCATGTTAATAACGTGGGCAATAAAAAGGGGTGCTTAGGACTGTTTAAAAATAATTAGAGGGAGTGAAAGAAAAATAAAGCTGCAGCATCTTGTTCAAAATGTACTGTGATCCCCAGATACACTTCCTGCCATCTGGCAACCCTCCCAGGAGGAACAAGTGGCAGACAGGGCTATCAGATTGCTCTCTGAGGGACAGCCAGACTATGGCAAAACATAAGCTCCAGCAGGGAATGCTGATCTCTTCTTCTCCAGACAGGATATCAAAACTGGAAGCACTTGCAAGGTTCATAAATAGCAGTATCAACACTATTAAGATTTCAGGAGTGTGGGGAGGGCAGAAGGGTTGATTGCCTTTTCACAGATTAATTTCCACATTTGAATAGTTCAGAAACAACACAATCTGTGTCTGGTGCCCCTCCTGATGACACTAACAAATTAAGAAATGGGATGCAGAAGTACAGACGAAACTTAGAATAGCAGCAGCAGAATTTCATACTTGTAAAATACTATCCAAAAACTCTGAACATTTCTGGAAAGAGAGGTCAGGCAGGTGCTATTACCCTGAAAACATGGTCAAGATTAGCCCTGCACCAAATCTATCTGTAAACACCTGCATGGCTGCCTTGAGAACTAGGCTATAATACATTTTCCTGTTACCATTGGGCTGGGTAAAAAACTCAGGACACCTAAGTTTTCAGGCACTAACAACTATGGAAAATGCCTCTGTAATACAAAAATGAGTTAAAAACATTTAGACTTCATTGGAGGTCACACCAAAAGAATTACTTGCAAGGAAACCACATGAGAACCAGAAGAGGCAAGGAAGTAGTTACAAATAATACAAATACATACCTGGGTTAACAAGATTTGTGAGAAAGATCTTTCCATGCATTGCAGTAACAGGAAGGTATTGTTATTACAAAAACACCCAGCTCTCTTCCTTTCTACTAAAAAGTTACCTTATTGATCACATAAAATAACCTAAAAGTGAACAACAGATAACTACAACAGGGTTCCACATATTTGACAGTGGATTAATTAAATTACAGAAGAATACACTGATTCACACAACATATCTTGTCCCCAGCAGAAAATGCTTAGGAAGAAAAGGGAGAAGGACAAGCACTTAATGCAATTATGTAAAAGAAACAGGCAAGATGTCATTTCAGAAAACAAATTATGGCTGGGTCAAGTAACTAGGTAGAGCAATACTATAAAATGTAAGGGTGGAGCACTGCAGGGTGTTTCTTGCCCTATTTCTCTCCTATTCCTGTTCTATACTGGCTAATACAATTCATTCTGACTGTCTGAAGGAGAAGAGCCTGCCAACTAAACTTAGAAGCCAAGGGAAACAGATTAACAGAGGAAATGAGAAGGTCTGCTCTTCAAAATCCACCTTCTCCAAATTCCCCTTCTTACACCTAAAATGCATAACAAAGCTGTTATGAATCCACATGTTGTAGTGGCAAAAAACAATTTTTGTTGTTTTAAAATCTCTGAGTCAAGAACACAGCCAAAACTGTGCCTGAAAGCTGAAGAGACTTGTCAGAGTAGGCAGAATAAAAATTTGCAAGAAAATTTAGAAATTCCCAGCTGGTGGAGATCACTTTATCTCCTTTAATCCACATTACTATGCTGATCCACACCAGCTGAAAATTCGAACCTTCTTTTGTGTTGTGCTATTTTTAACTAGCTAAACTTCAGACTTGAGTACAATTGCTCAATCCCATGACAAGTATAGTGGAAATAAAAAAGAGCCTTCACCAACATGTCCCAATCACTCACTGAATCCTTCATGTGCCTGTCAATTCTTATTAGTGCTATTGAATTACCTACAGCTGTTCCAAAGACTCTGCTGGGAACTACAGTGAGACACAGCAAACTCCCACAAAAGTTGAAGCCTTTCTGTTTTTTTAACACTCCCTCCCGTTCAGACCACCTATGCCACCTGCATTTTTTATTAGTCCCCTTGATGGCCTGTAACATTACCACTCTGTGAGGGCAGGACCCCAGGTTTTGTGTAGCATGTTACCCAATCTCTTCTTCCATCACTTACTCTCCCCAAGAAAATGAACTGCAGTATCTCTTCCCATGAAGAAATTTCCTTGGTCTCCATGGTGAAGGGAAATTTCCTGGCAGCACCTAGATCTATTAAATCCTACAAACCCAAGCTTTGAGAACAGAAGTGGGTCTGTGAGATGGTTGATGTCATCTCTCAGCCACTCACCAGGGTGACAATGGCACATTCAGCAGTCAGTTGAGCAGCACTGAACAACGTCCGAACAAAGCGGTAAATCTGTTTCTGCTCCGGGTCGTGTTTGTCATAGTCTGGTGGCACTTCGGATTTCTAAGGAAGAAATACTTCCAAATAGGTGACTGAAACAAAACAAAGCAGACAGGAAAAAAAAAAAAAGAGAGCTCATGTGAAAGGGATAGATGAACTTACCGAAAGGGGATGAAGGTTTTCATCAAAAATATCTAAGAGCATTCTTCCGTCTGCGTCCCTAAAAAGCATTAAAAGCAAAGCAGTGTCATTATTGGAATGTGACAGCACACAGCCCTCAGACACAGGTGTAGTGGTCAAATTCCAGCACTCCCCATGCTGTGGGGTGCTTAGAAACACTGCAGAAATGGGATTTTCCAATAAGAGTTGCACCTATTCTGCCATAAGGTTCTCGTGTAATATCAAATTCATGTTACAGAGATGCTAAAATATTCAGCTTTCCATGCCCAAGATATACAACTCTTGTGCTCTTTACTGTCAGGCTTAAGAAGTACTACTATAAACTCGTGATAAAATCAGCCCAGCTTACTCTTTTTTAACTCCATCATGTACAGACCCTTACAATCTCTTCATTCCTCCTCCGCCTTTATTGTCAACATCATGCACATTTAGAAATATGCAATGCCATTTTAAAAGCAATTCTTTAGTTAATACATATGTACTTCACTTTTTCCTTATTTAGAAAACTCCACCACACTAATGACTTCTGAAAGCAAAAGGGAGCACATACAAAAAATTCAGACAAAATAATATTCCTATTCATTGGTTTCATTTGCTATTTCTCTCAAAACCCTGTAGTGCAATATTGGCATGCAAGTTGATGCAACTTCACAAGCCTAAGATTCAGGATGCAACATAAGATATTTACTGTGTAACTTTGGCTGGAACACTAACAATCACAAGTGGCATAACAGTACCAGTTAGAACTGGCACTTTCTGGACAGATGCATCCATGTGATGTACTTATTCCAATCCCATCTTTATTTTTAGCATCCCTGGTACTCTGGTCATAGAGTTCTTCAGAGGGAAACCACTGAATGTGTTTTCTGTCTTTACTCAGCAGCACGTGACAGAGCATGCAAACCACAAGTTTGACAGTGGATTCATATCTGCAAAATGTATTTATTAGCAGCTAACATTTAAACCTCAACACCTGAAGGTGGAAATTTTTTCTGCTAAAAAGCAGCTAAGACTGGAAATAAACACTTTTTTTTTTTTACCCCTACATAAAAAAAAACCCTAGTATCTTAATGCAGAGGTAGTCTCCATGGAATCATTGTTGTGCTACAGTAAACTATGGCCCTTCACCATGAGAAGAGAGAAGAAATAATTTCCTATTTTATTTCTTCAAGTTGTAGTTGCTGCATGCTATGAAGGCACATTTGATTGCCCTTAAAACTGCATTGCAAAAAAAAAAAAAGTTGAGAAGTTTTCATTTTCACTAACATTCACATTGTACTCTTTCAAAAATGGACCAACTACTGATGGACCTAACCATACTTCACAGTTAGTTTGTTGGGGGTTATTTTATTGCATTTCTTTCTTTTGCAAATTCACCAATACTTATTATTTCTTTCAAAAACAAGATGGGTGTAGTTTTTTTACCACTTGTTGAAGAGCTAAACACAACAAAAGCTGCAGACAACTGATCAGTGTGACTATGATAGCAGGCACTGGGAGAAGAAGGAATGATAATTGGAATGTTACAATCAAATGAAATGTGGGAAACCTGAAGAAATATCATATTTCATGTATAGTTTTTCCAAAAACTGAGACTGGTGGGAGTTTGAAACATGAGGAAGTAATTTTGTTTTAAGCCTCCTGTGCAGGAGAAAACGAACAACTAAATACTGTCTGAAAACCTTTTCTCTGGCAAAGCAGATGCTTTACTTGTTTTCTGTCAAAATTAACCTTGAGTCCACATAAATTGTGGTGGTTTTGTAGTCCCCACCCCCATAATGAACAAAAATCTACCACATACGTCAACAATTTCCTCTTTGCTTATAATGGCAGGAAAGAGAACATATGTTTTGCTCTTGCTGTTTCAGCAGCAAGTACAACTGAGTGCTGTTAGCTCATTGTCCCTCCATTCCTAAATCAGAGGCAACTGAAGACAGAACAGTCATTTCACATCCTTCCATTGACAGACACGAGGCTGCTCCCGCGCCGCTGCCGAGAGCGTCGGTCTCAAGCGTCTCAAGCACGCACAGCACAGCACATCTCCACCCCAGCTACACTCTGGGGGAAGCAGCAGCAACCAGTTCTTCCTGAATAAATCACTTCTCCATCCCAAAAGTGAAAGGACAGATAGCACCTTTCCCAGCAAGGTAACATTCATAATGCATTTGTTTTCAAGATGCTGACACAAGGCTCTTCGTTTTATAAGGGTTTAGTTTCTGTCTACAAGTTTGAGGTCAAATTTGCATCGAGTTCTGCAAGCTCAGGAATGGGCATATTTTACTGCAGACAGAAATTGACTCCATGGCAACTGGCATGAAGTGAGTCTGGTAGACTGTGGCTCTGAGTTCCTCCCAACCTGGGAGCTCTTAATGAGGTGTCTCATCCTTTGTAGTCCCCATTCTCCCAAGCCTTTTACTCAGCTGGCATGGCACTTAACAGAGCACTTAAGAACAACTTATTTCCACAAAACTTTAGAGTCTGATTATCTTTGAGATCTCTATTATTTAGTCAAGCATAGTAAAAATTGACTAGCTAACCAAACTAACCCAGGGACCCTGGAGAAAAGGGGAAAAGGAACCACAGATGAATAAACTAGTAATCCAAGCGCAACCACTCATGCCTCATCTCCTAGGAAATGAGATTAGAAGTTTGCAAGAACATTTCACTCCAACTTTTGCTTTATTTATTGCCGTGTTTCAGTCCAAGGCCCACTGACATCTTGGAAAGTCTTCAAAGAGCTTTCAG